CGAATCTGTGTTAGATCGACTGCCACCGCCTCGTCCTCTTGCTCCTTTCGCGGCACACGGTGGACGAGAACCAGGACAGACGACGCCCACGACACCGGATTCGGATTCTGATGGTTCGGTACATCCGCATCCAGGTGCCTCGTCGTTCCGGCCGTCGCCGACGGTGGTTCATGGTCCTCGGGAACTTCTACAAGAATTTACCATTGCACTTCGCAATGCATACCGTGAACCTTTCACGGCATGGACACAGGGCGAGCTGGATGAAATGGTGAGACGGAAGAAAGATAAGGATTCCAGGCCCACCTATAAGACCATTGCGCGGTTTCTTCAGAAGCCCATTGAGGAAGTCAAGCAGGCATGGAAGGTCTATCAGCAACTTGAGGCTCGCAGCTAGGAACAAGCCCGGCAAATGCAGCAGCGACCATTGATGGACCAAATGATAAGCAGCGGCGGTGTGTCCGGTTTGAGTTGTTGATCACATGATACTTGCTTGCTTGCACGTGACTCAATCTTGCTTGTCGTGTCGCGAGATGTCGTTGACATGCAGTGATGTCTTGCCTGAGTTGCTCAAATCATGTCGGAACAAGTTGTACAGACGTACATTACCTGGACCCATGGAGCGCAGCCGACGTGGTTACAATTTCATGGACCTGGGGCTCTACTTGACAGACCCATTCGGCTGACTACGTCGCCTCCGCCCCCGCCAAGTTTGCCACTGCTTCTTCCACCTCCTCCTCCACCACCACCACCACCACCGGTGATTCTACACCCCCAGTTTATGCCCTCGGTACGCAGCCCCTCGATCTCAGCCCCTCGCGGACAATCCTGCCCTACCTCTTTGAAATCGCAGCGCGCACGCCGCTCGATCTACAGCACTGACCCTTCCCGTGATGAAGTACCACGCAGTCCAGGCCGCTCGTCCAAACGATCTCGGACAGCATCAGCTTCAGCGCCGCGGCGATCTCGACGGCCCTTTACAGTGTTTTATTCCAAACGTGCTGGCCGTTCATCGCGATCCCCATCGGCAACATGCAAGCATTACTGTCACGCCATCCTGCGCCATGGACGGAAATGTCTTTCCCCTTGTGCACGTAGACGACCAGGTCATTATCATTGCAGGTGTGCGCGACATCAAAGACAGTGAAAGCCAGGTGTCAGACATTTCAGACCTCGTTGACCCGTTTCACCTTGTGTTTGAAAAGTTGCCTCGCTCCTCAGTGGATGTGTGCGGTTAGTAATGCATGTGTGTCCTTGCCGCAGATTTTCGATTGGTTTAGCAGTCGTGCAAGCCCGTACTGCTGCTATGAACCCCCAGTATTTCGAGTACCAGATCGAGAGAGGAGTGGAATGGATTCGAATTTACTCTCCGGGCATTTGGAGGCCCGTTCCTGAGGAGGCGCCAGTTCCGGACCCACTCTACGCTTCCACGTTTCGGGAGTGGCGCAGATCATATCACTTCCAAGTGTACTGGTCTGATGACAGCACCGGAGGCACCACAATGGATCCTATTGCCACGCCCAGTTCCTATGTGTCCTATCACGTGTGGGAGTACCGAGACTGGCAAACGCGAGGGTACCAACGACTTGGACCTCCTGTCCAATCCATCGGACTCGCGATGCTCGCCAACGCAGACATCGAGTCCTCGGTGGGCTCGTCGGTACCTGATGGAGCGTGGCGGGAACCGTCACCGCCACCATTTCATGATCCTTGGAATGATTCGGATTGACACTTGAGTTGCATGTTGGACAAAGATGCGGTTGTGCGTGCTTTGTATGTGAGTTCTCATTGGGTTGTCTTGCTTGGTGCAGCGCATGTCGTCTCTATGTGTCCGCCGCTCTCTGTGATAACTTTGAGCAGCTTGTCGGGTTGAAATGTTCAATAGTACGGTGCAGGGTGCAGCACGATGGGTCCTACCTCGCTATTTTGACTATGACATCGTCAATGGACCAGCAGGAACGAGGGTGGAATGGATTCGAATCTATGTGCCGGGTCAGTGGCATCCAGTCGCCCCTGACACCCTGGGACCGGCCCCGGATGACCCGACCGCCTATCGGGAATGGCGCAAGGTCTACCACTTCGAAGTGTACTGGCCCAGGGAAAGCACGGGCGGCACAACTATAGGCACGGCTCTGCAACCGGTATCCTACGCCACCTTCTACACTTGGTATTACAGGGACTGGGTCACCAGGGGGTACCAACGCCTGGGTCGTCCACATCCCAGCATAGCGAGGCCAGTTTTCGCTTCGGGTGCACCGGACCTCATGTATGCTGGAATGACCTCCTCTTCGGCATCATCTAATTCACATGATAGCTGATGCCCGTCCTCGCCTCCCTGGAGAGTCTGACTGTGATGTTGGCGCCGCACAGTGCTACAAAAGTGGTCTTTTGCATTTTGATTGTTGATTTGCTTTCACTCGTTGTTGTCTGCAGCCGTACACCTATCAACTTGACTTTCCGTGGTTGCGTTGTCATGCCGTGGCTGGAATGGTGCCCGGACCCTCAACAACCTGATGCCCAGTGGGTCAAGATCTTTCATCCGGGACCATGGACGCCTCAAGAAGAACATGATGCTCCACCTCCTCCGCATACTTTCAGAGAATGGCGGGAGTTCTATGCTCCCAACCAGGACTCAGTCGAAGGGCAAGTCCAAGTCACTACGTGGTACAAGCGAGACTGGGCCACAGAGGGCTATCGGAGAATCGCTGCTCCTCACGCTGGTCATGAATTTGATTCCATGTATCCCTCCGATCACCATAACGTGGCCACGCAGTCTGCGGCATTGAGTATGTCGCCGGAGCTGTTAGACGCGATTCTCAGGTCCTCGGATGCGGCTGATTTCTCCACTGAAGAACTGACTCGTCTCCAGGAGGGGATTTCTCAACAACTGACGGCCCGCGCACGTCTGACCTCCCATCCTCATCAACCAGTACGTGCATCGCGTGGCAACACACCATCGGAGACGATTGGGGTCTCCGACCCCTACACGCCCGTGAATCCGTCCGACAGCGGCCAAGACAAGATGAGGCCCGTCTTCGAGCTGACTGAAGACTAGCCTTGCATGAGCAGCGCAGCGTACAAAATAAGGGTGGCCTCTACACTTGCATGATCTTGCTTTGCTGTTGTTTGAACATGGTTGTGCATGGTGCTTGTTCACCTACTAGCTGGATCGGAGCCCGCGACCATCCTTGCCTCTTGCCTCGACATGGACATCGATGATTCCAAGCAGTATCCATGGCTCGAATATTCGGTCTGGCATGATCAGGAGTGGGTGCGGATTTACACTCCGGGACAACCTCAACGATGGCACCGTGGTGACGCCGTACCTGATCTACCTGAAAACTCTTTTCGTGAATGGCAGCGGGTGACGGATCCCGAAGCGCCAGTCCAGGCATGGGACATCCGTGACTGGCAACACCAAGGGTACCAGCGCATTCTGTCTCGGATTGAGTCCTTCGCAACTCAATATTCACATGATCAGACTCTTGGTCAAGGTCGGAACTCCGATGCCGTTCAAGTTGAGGAGACCTTCACCTATGCCACTCCGTTTTCTCATGGTGATCGCCCGGCTGCTTCGCAGATCGCTTCAGTCCTCTATGGCGACACTCGCAATGCTCAACGTTGTGATCTTTCGTTCCCGTCTTCTGAGCGGTTTAGGGCAGTGTCTCGCTCCCCTCGCCGTGGTGGATATTTTGGTCAACGATAGTGATTTGAGTTTGAGCATGTGATCTTCCTGCAGGAGAAAAGAGAAACCTCGCCCCTCGTAGAGGGGCGTGTGTGTGCGGAGTGACAGAATGCCCTGTCACCACCCTTTCGTTTCGCAGCAGGGGCGTGTGGCACTCTCATCCTACCACACGCAATGAAGCTGTGGGTGAGAGTGGGAAGCAAGGCCTGATCAGCCTTGTGTACCTGCACCTTTTGAGTGATTCTGAAAGTCCTTTTGGCCCTCTTCTTTGCCGCTGTGTGTGCTTCATGTTGAACCCTGTAACGGTTTCGTCTCTAGAGGGATATCACGTGACGGCAAGCCGAACTTTCTTTTACTCGAGACTCATCGGTTGTACTCGAGACTCATCAGTTGTACTCGAAACTCATCAGTTGTACTCGAAAGATTAGCACTCTCCATCTGGAGTTCAAGTGTGTGTGTGCGCGTGTGCGCGTGTGCGCGTGTGCGCGTGTGCGCGTGTGCGCGTGTGCGTGTGCGTGTGCGTGTGCGGGTGCGTGTGCGTGTGCGTGTGCGTGTGCGTGTGCGTGTGCGTGGGCGTGCGCGTGCGCGTGCGCGTGCGCGTGCGCGTGGGCGTGGGTGTGGGTGTGGGTGTGCGTGTGCGTGTGCGTTTGCGTGTGCGTGGGCGTTCGCGTGCTCGTGCGCGTGCGCGTGCGCGTGCGTGTGCGTGTGGGTGTGGGTGTGTGTGTGTGTGTGCTTGTGTGCGCTTGTCTGTGTGTGTGTGCTTGTGTGTGTCTCCCTGTCTCTGTGTGTGTGTGTGCGCGTGAGTCTGTTTGTTTTAGCTGTTTAATAACTTGCCAACTGACCTACTGATGCTGTAGGTTGCCCGAAGAAGCAAGTAGTGCCGCCATAAGAGCCAGCATCACTATCACTCGCCCATAATAGCTCTACAGTGTGAATAGGGCACACTCACCACCCAAGGCATCCTGCACAAGTGCCATCACTTTGACAGCACCCCATTTGTCCACACATTTGTCCACCAACACGCATGTGCTGATGTATGTTCAAGTTCCAGCAGACGCTTTCTCGAGTCAAGGCACAAACGCGCCTCGCCTCTTAAAACAAACGAGGCACAGGCAAGCGCAAGCAGTTCCGTGTATTCACACCTGAATGTGCCAATGTGCTGGCTTGATGTTGGCTGGCAAGATCTGCCACGTTCAAAACAGAGGCGTCAACCTGCACATACAGGGATCACAAACTAACCGAGGAATCACGAAGGACAGCAAAGCACGCCCTAGGTGGTTTTCCGGAAGCCCTCCTCCCAGACAAAAAGCCAAGCTTCTGGAGGTGACCCGGTACTTTCCGGAGAGCTGCAGCTGCTCTGGGCAGCTGGTCGGGAAGTCCTGCTGGAACGGACCACGCCCTTGGCTTCCCACTCTTCAGAGTAGCAACTGCGAACAAGGGGGGAAAGACATGGCACCGCACTGGGAGGGATATTGGGATCTTCCGTTCAGTGTCCAGCTGCAACGCACCCGGAAAATGCTGCGTCACATTGCAGTTGATCAATGTTCCTGGCCCTCCAATGACAATGGGTAACTTTTCTGACTTGGCCGAGTCATCTTTTTGGTGGTTCTCCCTAACGGTCGACTTTTGGATCAAACGAAAATGCATTCACCAGCTCTGAGTAAAGCATATAGTTGCCCAAATGCGAGCATGGATTTGGGGCCAACCCTTGCTGTTGCTCTCTCAAAGATCTTCACACCACCCAAGGGACGTTGTCGGCTTGTATCCAGCCCAGACAACCGCAGATGGGTCCCGTTGATTCCTTACAGCACGTATCCCTGCATCCCTTGCCTGAAAGAGCTCGAATGTGCGCTCAGCAGTCACCGCAAGTGCGAAAGCTAAGAACCACATGGAGACGCATCTTCGCAAACCACAGGCGCGGCTTGCCGTGGGAGCCACGAGCTGCGGATCAGAAACGCGATCAAATCAATGCTTGTGACAACGGGGTGCGAGATGGGTGTGCCTGGGTGAGTGCTACTTACAGGTTCAACCAACCCCCCAAACTGTAGCGCCAGAAAGGTCATACCCATCATTTTCATAATCTCCCCATGGCCGTACTGACAAAGTGGGCAGTCGTCGGTGTCCGCATCTCGACAAAAGGATGCACCTTGTCTCCGCTCGCGGAAGGTCGTGGGCCTCATGGGCCTCATGCCCATCTCATCAAAGGTGTCAGACTGGAGCAAATGTCTGAAAGGAAAAGTATCCAAATGGGGGCCTTCTGTCCCCAAACCTCGAGAAACCGTAAGGAATTTGTGAACAGCGCAAATGCACAGTGAAACCAGACTCTGAGATTGCGTGCCACTGCGCTGGTTTCCAGGGGATGCAGATCGACTGGTCCAATGTGGCCAGGACATACCGGTGTCCTTTGCCTTAGTTGATTTTCAGGAGAAGCCCAACCAAAATGAAGAAATGGGCATGAGTTGACCCAAAGAACCGTCACCACTAGAATGTGTGAAATCACCGGTCTTAAACTGGGTCTGCGATTGCGAGGTCACCCTATGTTTGGTGTTGTGTGAAAAAGAAACCAAAGGAAACCCCACTAAGTGCCATGTTTTGGAGACACACTGTAGAGGGAATCATCCTGAAAGAGTGCACCCCCCACCAAATATGAGTGAATTATGATGACCCAACCTGGGAGAAGTGGTCCGTTTGTCGTTGGAGCCCCGAGGTGCCACTGAAAAGGTGATTTCCAGGGTGTTATAACCAATCTCAACGTAGAATTGCCCCAGAAACCTTCCCTTTCAGGCGGTGGCTTGCAGGAACACCCAGCAAAACCGGACCCCACTTTGGGTTGGTTCCCCATTCAGGAATCTCAATCAAGATTGCCACTAAAACTAAAGGTGAAATTCAAATTAGAGAAAAAACAAAATACATGGGTATTTACCTATTTGCCTAAAGTTCCCATTGAAGAAACTCCATCCCAGAATGGAACATTGAAAACCCATGCGAAATGGTTGTTTTGGCTTGAGAGGCCGTTTGGGGGTGGAATTGCCTTTGGAAAAACCAGCCGGATCAGGCTAGCTTGCAACGTGCGTCTACCGCCCGGCTGCCCGGTCAGCGCAGGTGGTCGGGCCCTTCTTGGCGTTCACGCCTGCGTTGCGGACACCGTTTGTCTCAAACTGGGGGACCCAATGGGTTGGTCAATTGTTTGCCTCTGAAACCAACCAGCCGCCAGTTTCCCAGCCCGCCCCCAAAATACCGCCAAACAACTGGGGAACTATTGGCCCGGGGCGCCCTTACAACCCAAATTATGCCGGAAAACGTACTGAAGGTTACTGGGCACACCAACAAGCTGAATGTGGGTGTTTCGGGCACATCTCTGCCCCAATCCGCAACAGCAAAGAAGCGTGGTGTACAAATCCGGATAGGTCGGTGGTCGACACTTGGACTTCAAGGCAGGACGGCGCCTCATCTGCACCGCGATGACCACCATCATTGCCAAGGACACCATCCCGGCCATGCCCACCGTGGCGAAGAACAGGAGCCGCTGGATCCATGCCTCTCTTCTCCGAATCTGTTTGGGTGGGCCTAGGGTTGGTTTCGGGCGTGTTTAAAGTTTAGAGCTTGGTTTAGGGTTTGTTTAGTGCTGGTTTAGGTTTGGCCTTTCTTTCGGTGAATTAGAAGAATTCGCCAACCTTGAAATGAGAAATGAAGCGAGAACGAAACTTCACGGGTGAGGTCGCAAACTGAAACCCTTTGTGAGGCAGTGTTCTGTTTTGTTCTGGTGGTTCTTGCGTGCTCGTGGCAATTATGCAGGGGTTCTGTGAGGTACTTCTGTGAGGGCAACTTCTTTTGCAGAAACTTTGGTGGGGCTGCGAGAGTGCTCCAATTTTGGGATTGCATAGTTTGGCCCTGGTCTCTGAGCAGTCCAAAATCGGGCTCAAAATTAATTGACACGTTCCCACAGAAACCGCTCGAACGGAACGGGGAGAACCTCCAAACCTTTCCCTGGCCCGGGATTGGAGTCGGGATCAGCCCAAAGTGATTCCACCTCTAACCAATACGGCTGGCTGTCCCCACTAGCAATAGCCGACATTTGTTTCACAGAAGGCCACTTCGCTCCAATGTGATACATCGCTAGATTTGTCCAAAAACTAGATGCAGGGAATCAACGCATCAGGAACAGGCTGCAAGCGAACTGCCTTCTAGCCGCATTTGAAGGCATGAATTGCACCAGGCATGCGTAATCTCATCGCTGCTTCACGTCTGATGCCAATCACACTTTCCGCTCTTTCCCCCTCCTCCTCTTCCGCCTTTTACCTCTCTTGCCGCAAATGCTCCTCCATACCCGTCTTCCCCTACCCCTCTTCCCCCCGACCCCCCCCCCCCCGTTGCCACCGCCCTCGCACTACCGCGAATCAAATCGGGCAACAACGCAGCAGACATGTTCTCTGCCCAAATCGCAATTCAACTGCGGGCTCCAACAAGTCTGCCACTGTGGAGGCCCAACAACGCATCTGAGCGAAGTGGTCAGAAAACGCAACAGGAACTTTGGGTTCACTACTAAATAGTCCAGAAACTCGGGAAGGTAATTACAACTTAGAACTGCCACTGTTGGAGGTACATGGGAAACTTGACAGCCTACTGGTCCACCCTCGTGTTCTGCAAATCACGACTCAGCCATGGCGCGCTGTTGTCCCAGGCCAGGTCAGTGGTGCTGAGGCAGGTGGCAAAGCACGTCATCACCGCCGCCAACGTAAGCAGAGTAGTCTCCGCCCGGTTCCACAGTTCCACCTCATCAACCAGGGGCGACCGCAAGAGTTTCTCTGAGCAAAGTTCTCATTGAAAGCTCTCAACAAGACGGCTCCACGTAGGCCAGCGCAAGAGAACCCAGCGGAATGATTTTTTGCGATTTGGGACTTTATGGGCTTCCTGTGCCTTTTGCATCAAATCTCATCCAAGAAGACTCATCCAAGAAGGGGTGCCCAAGTGACAAAACCAGCTCAGGAAGACAACGTTTTGTTGCACGTTCGCGCCTCCGACGTATGTACGCAGGGCCCAAACAAGATAATTGTGATTCTCTGAGCAAGCGCTCCCAGTAAGTTTCTCTGAGCAAGTCCTGTGCGCAAGTTCGCTCAAAAAGGTCTCTCACAGAAAGGTCTCTAAGCAAGTCCTCTGAGCAAGTTTCATTGAGGTTTGTCTGAGCAAGTTTCTCTGAGTAAGTTCTCTGAACAAGTTCTCTATGCAAGTTCTCTATGCGAGTCCGAGTCCTTTGTAAGCCAGCACGAGACAATCCAGCGGAAGAACCCTTCGCGGTGCGTTCGGGAAAGAGGACGAAGAACTGGAAAAACGGTGGGTGCTTGCTTGCTTGCGTGCTTGCTTGCTTGCTTGCTTGCTTGTTTGTTTGTTTGGTTGGGTGAAAGTGCCTGTCAAGTCCGGTGCCTTGTAGGGCGAAACCACCAGGTAGGCGCCCAAAGATGCCAACAGAACCACGCTGACGCCTGACACAGGAGCTGCCCATGCTGTCCCGCCAGCGCAATACACGTGCACAGGCGCCATGGTCAAACTCCAGGGCTGAGTTATGATGATGGTATGTTAAGTAGAATTCCTCATGCTGGTTGTCGAATTTGCTAAACAGTATTACAGATATTGACGAAGCGTTGCCTTCACTGCGGGCCCTACTGTGACCCTCCATATCCATATCCATATCCATTAACGACCATCATTCCTAAGTCCAATCTGTCAGGCCATACCATAACTTTCATGTACTGATCGGCGTGGACAACCAGCAGCGCGCAGCCTCAAGTCATGCAATGCGCCCTGGCTCTGTCTCCTCACAAGATAACCAGCAAATGCGTTGCTTTCAGGCTTGCTTCTCCCACTGCCCCCTCCAACCCTCTGCCTTGGGCCAGCCCCACGGGGCTTCAGCGGTCATTATCTCTCAGCCAACGCGTTCAAACCACAAAATCGAAGCCAAACAGGGGAAATATGTGTCTGCCCCGAAATTTGGGGACCTCCCAAAAAAAGCTGGCTTTTCACTTGGCTTCCCCTAAAACATCGCAAGCAAAGGCCCGACAGCGGCCTGCCATGTGCTGAGAAGCGCCGAGCGCTGGGGGCAGGGTGGTGGATAGCAAGGTCAGCACCATCTTCCGCACTAAGCGCTCCGTTTCAAAGGCCGCGAACTGGGGCTTGTACGCCTCCGTTCGAAAGGAGAAGGCAGCTGATGGGGAAGGCGGAGATCTGTCCAAGGAGTTGGCGCCTCTTGGACGGATGTATGATATTTTGAAAGGCAACCAAACAGTTTGGAACAGCCTCAAAGATTTGATAGAGCGCCGAACTTGAATAACTTGAATATGTGTGTTTGGGCCTGGGGTCCAGCCATTTTCCAAGAGAAAGCAGTGCGCACCAAAGGCGAGCTATGAACGAAACAGAATCCGGACGACCAAGCAGGCGCGGGGGATGGGGTTGAAACAGAATTGTATTCAGATGGCGCGCACCATGCTCTGAGTCGATTTTGGTCTATTGATGTGCGGCTGGCCAATCTTTTCTTGTGAAGGCCTTCGTGTGTGCCAAACATGACCCTTAAATCTAAATTCGAACTGTCACAAATGGACTGTAGCAACACCCGCAGGCTGTCAACGGATAGTTTACGAGTTTCTTATATACTTCTTACCACGTGGCATTTCCTCCAACTGAGTCGCCATTTCCGAGCTTAGCAGCCCTTGCAAGCATATCCTACTCAGATAACGCGACGGCGTGTCTGCTGAAGTAAGGGGCTCAATTCCACCCTGGACCTTGCTACTCCTGTGGAAATGCGCTGATTGAACTCCATAGCTTGTTCCAAAGTGTTGCTCCCAGGGCTGGTGGCAAGGGGCGGAAGCCCCAACAGTTCATCGGCGTCGTGCTCCGTTTACGTTACGAGCGCCCCCTATTTCCAGGGCCCAACTGCAACCTGTGGCCATCGGTAACGTGGAATACCATCCAAACAAGAAGATTCACCTAAATCACGCCCACCAGGGGGTTCCCAACGCAGGTGTCAAGTCTAAGTGGGGGTGCAGAACATGGTTGTCTTCATTCGACTTACCTTAAAAGGGCGATCTCCAAAAAATGCACCCACAATGTCAGGTAACGGACGAGCATTTGTTCCTAAAGGGCGACCCCCGGAAAAAAAGAAGGAAAAAAAAGAAAAAGAACAAACAACATCAAGAAAAACAAGTTTCTTTCATTTTCTTTCCTTTTGGTTTCCAGATGCCAACATTTGACCCAGGGTGCGTTGGTGAGGTAGACCACGTGCTTGCGCGCCGGCACGGTCTTGGAAAAGGCGGCTTTGGTCCAGCCATAGACCACCACTGCGAAGCACAGCCTGGGATATCCGCCATTTTGAGGGCACCCACTTTGGTTGTAAAAGGAAAGCACGTTGACTAGAACCCGTTCAGTGTCCGCTGTAAACAGTGCACGTAAACCAACCACGTCCGACTACAAAACTGCCTGAAAATACTTCCCTTCCCTAGGGCACCGCTGTCAATCAACCCCTGGACAACTCATATGGAGATGTTCCCCCGAAAGTGAGGATTTCCTCCAACGTGCGGCACCCAAATGGGAACTCCAGCAATAAAAACTAGTTGGAAGATAGGGGGCGCCCTATTTTTGGGGATAATCCACCAGGTTGGCTTTGTGGATTCGACACTGCTGTATCTCTTCGTGCACGAGTGTCCCTTGAAGCCTTGGCCCCAGAGAGATAACCTGCTGAGTGGGAACCCCCAAAATAGGGTACTTGTGAATAGAGGTGGAAAAGCAAACGCACGGCCATGTGCTCAAAACAATTTGGGCCTGAGAACCCGTGCTGTGTTTGACAAGGAATCATGTGAGCCCGAAAAGAGGTCGCCCAGCGCCGTCTTCTCGCAAAGGCCGTAAGACGGCCTTTTGGATTGGGGTCTCAGCAGTGCCCCCTCGTCAAACACCCCTCAAAGTATCCAATTCCCCACAGGCACAAGTTCATGCCTCGCGGCTCAAGTTGCCCAAGGCCCCGGTGCAGTAGCATTCTAGAAAGACAAAAACATAACGCTTGGTGGTGTCCAGTCGCCTCTCTAGGCCCTCATCCGTTGCAGCATACTACCTGCCAGCCAGGGCTGCTCTAAACTTCAAACTCGGGGATGTCCTATTGGGGCAACCAACAGTCCGAAAGTCCTTGCATAGGGGCAGAAAGTTGGTCCCTGGAAAAGGAAAGCCGCAGGGCCAAACACCAATGTTCTGCCCTCGAGGTCATTGTTTGGAGGCTCGGAGCAAACCTGTTTTGGGAGTTGTTCCGACGGCCCAGATCAAGAAGCACAATGATTCCAATCACCCGCACGGGCGTCAGCGACTCTGGCATGTAGTTGCACTGCAGCTCTCCTCCATCCTCAACCAAGCGAGACCATTCCCATACCCATACCTACCCAAATATCCTTACCAAACCAAGCCGATCGACTGCCCTGTGGCAATGTGGGCGAAACGACACTCGTCTCCGAACGTCCTGGCTTCACAAGGATACAAACTTGTAGAGCAGCATACAAAGAGAGAGCAAGGCTTCGGCACCGTGAGAAGAAGCGGTCAAAAAGTCCGACCCGGTCGATTTCTGGCCCCAATTTGGAAAGGGCCCAAAATCGAATTTGGTGTGTGAGTCACATTTTGCCCGCGCAAGCATGCTCATCTTGGAAGCGAAAAACCCGTCCTCCTGCGGAAGGACCCGGAAGCAGACAAAGTACTTGCCGAAATCGGCGCAAAGACCTGACAAATGTGGCGAACACTGGTCAGCCTCTCAGCAACAAAATGTGCACATGACCTATCAGCATACCGTGAATGTTACTGGCTTGAACAAGTAGCACTTTGATGGCCACCTCGTATGTCCCACTCTTACGTGCCACTACGCTAAATAGTTTGGGGCTCTCAGGGCCTGTCAATGAGGGAAGGCTGGGCAGTCTCCGAAGCTCAATCAAACCCGCAAGCAAGACAAGTCTTACCTCATGTTTGCTGATTTGGAAGAAAAGACAAACCTACTTGCTTCAGAATTTGATTCCTGGTCCTGTTTGGATGGGTTTTTATCATCTGGGCCAACAAATCCATTGCAAACCAATTCTGGAAACCTTGCAAAATTCCGCCTCTGAAACGGGACCACTCCATAGCCACCTGCGCCATAGGCTTGCCGACCTTGCCCCAGGGCAAAATGTTCAATTACGCAGGCATCCACAAAACATAGCGAGAGGTTTTGCAACCAAGCTAGCATCCCGTGAGAGCAAGTGGAAAATTGCCCCTTCCTTCAAGCATAGCCCAGCCCGACTCGCGGAACTTGTGCTTTCTTTGAGCAACGCAACGGGCGTAATTTTGCTTGGCGTGGGAGTACGTCCGACGAATGGGATTGTCAGGTGCCTTAAGTGTGCGAAGACTTGGCCTTGGAGCAATTAGCGCCTGGGAACGCACGCGCCGACTGCGCTTCACTTTCTCCCCGCGTGCCTCCCGGCTTGCTCTCCGCAAGGGCGGCGAGCGAAGCGCGCTCGGTTGTTCTGGGTTGGCAGCTCTGCGCTGGGGAGGGGCGACTTCAATGCCATGATCTAGTTTTGTCCGTGATCCGTTTGCCAGATGAGACTCCGTCACGTGTGAGGCAAGCAGCAACCCCCAGCTAGCAGCTGCAAATTGCAAAAACCACTTGTTGACAGTTTTCTGCGTCTGGCTCGGAGTATACGGCGCCACCTTTGCAACTAGCCACTGAGCCACTAGCAACTAGGCTGGGCTGGCAACTTAAACCTCACTTCTGGGAATTTTCATCCGTCCAGCCCTCATGCGGCGCCGCCAGGCCAAGCTCAAAAGTTGGTTCCTGGCATCCCCCTTACGGAGACCCTAGTAGGGAATTCATCACCATCCCCGCTGACCATGTGAAAGTGTTGACCAAGACTTCTCCTGAAAACCGAAATTACTGAAAAGGCCACATCCCACCGTCCTTTGTGCGATCGGTTCTGCTTTCGCTCCAAGACAGCGTTCCTCGCGGGTGTCCCTCTGCGCCGACCTCCTTTGAAATTGGGTGATAAATGGCGGTGCAATGCGGTCACCAACTCGTTGGAAAGCAAAACTGCCACGCCGATTGCAAGTGGCATTGCTTCAACAGCTAGTAGTTCATTGACCGCAAGTCCAGGTTCAGATCAGTAGGGTTTTTGGTCAGGAGGGCTTCCAAACTCATTGACAACATGTTTAATGCAAATATATTGTCATTTGCCTAAGAGAAAAAAGACTATTTTCATACAGTAAGTGTCTAGCGTTTTTTTAATTGAATCATCATCTTCTATAGCTATATTCCACTAGCATCACCAACATCACTTGCATGTGGGGTTGCCTAGGCTCTGATTGGGTGGCAGTTGGGAGTTGCTGGGGGCTGGTTTAAGTTGGGGGGGCTTTGGCTGGCGTAGGTCTTCATGAGGGTGTCTTGGGGTGGTTTGGGGTTGACTTAGGCGAAGCGAAGGGCTGACATCCAGGCTGCTGTTGGGCGGGTTTAGGGTTGACTTTGAGCGGGTTTTGGGGTGGCTTGGGGCTGATTTGTGTTAGGTGTGCTGCTGGTTCAGCAGCGTCTGTAGAGTTGCTTTAGGGTGTGGTTAATAGAGTTCTGGTTGGCGGGTTTAGGGTTGACTTTGAATGGGTTTTGGGGTGGCTTGGGGCTGATTTGTGTTAGGTGTGCTGCTGGTTCAGCAGCGGCTTTAGAGTTGCTTTAGGGTGTGGTTAGTAGAGTTCTGGTCTAGTTTTGGTGGTTTGGGAGCGTTGCATGTCTCACAACCTTGAGATGGTGTTTTTTTCCTAGTCCTGGTGCCCCCTTAGCTCTGGTTGGTTGGTTGGTTGGTTGGTTGGCTGGTTGGCTGGCTGGTTGGTTGGTGGTTGGTTTGGTTGGTTGGTTGGTTGGCTGGTTGGCTGGCTGGCTGGCTGGCTGGCTGGCCGCATCCCCGGCATCACCAACGTCACTTGGACCTGGGGTTGCCTAGGCTCTGATTGGGTGGCAGTTCGGAGTTGCTGGGGGCTGGTTTAAGTTAGGGGGGGTTTTGGCTGGCTTAGACCTTCATGAGGGTGGGTCTTGGGGTGGTTTGGGGTTGATTTAGGCGAAGCGAAGGGCTGACATCCAGGCTGCTGTTGGGCGGGTTTAGGGTTGACTTTGAGTGGGTTTTGGGGTGGCTTGGGGCTGATTTGTGTTAGGTGTGCTGCTGGTTCAGCAGCGGCTTTAGAGTTGCTTTAGGGTGTGGTTAATAGAGTTCTGGTCTAGTTTTGGGTTGGTTTGGGGCCAAATTGATTGTTTCTACACTGACATGCTTTCTGTGCACTTGACATGACCTTCCACAGCCTTTAGACGCACAATGTGTCATGAGCTGCCCACTCAATCAATCAGCCTCTCACTCACATTGCGCCCGTCACTGCCGGCATAGATCAAGAAGCTACACTGTGCTCCAACCATACATTTGCAGGAAGTACTATGATTTAAGTAAACCTGCAAGTATATGAATTATTTTGCAAAAACAACTTAAACATACACAAAATAGATTTCTGGGGTTGTCTTAAGAACCCTCCCGATCTAGACATTGTCGGCTGGCCAGGGCGGACTCGCACGTTTGCGCCAACATGAGACAAGAAAAGGACACCAACCGTTTAAGCTACGTTGGAAAACCAAACGAGGTGGAAACAACTGCACGGGGCTGTGGCTGGTTTCGGTGCGGGACTGGTCGGGAACGTCATGGAAATTTCTAGGTTGTTCCAGACCCCTCGACAGCTCCTCCTCAAGCCGACATGTTCAATGGCAAACCGAAACGATGCACAATCTTTGTGGGATCACCTTGTTCTCTCTCAGTGACCAGCTTTGGATGCACAAAGGACGTGCCATTTTAATGGCTAAGTGAAAAACATGGAGCCAAAAGCTTGAGTTTTCTTGATGAAGCCTTGCATTGCCGGCGCCTGGAAGGAAGCAATTGGTGCCCACGACCAAGGCCAGCCAAGGGTCCTGAGGTGAGGGCGATGGGTCGGGGAGGAGAAGGGGGAAAAATAGCATACGGCCTGCATCACTGCACCTACTTCACCTTCGCTACAGCCCACGACGTTTTTTTGGCGTATGGTTGAAATGCTAAGCAACTAGCCGGAGAGGTCCCTAGTTTGGCGGATCCATTGACACCTGCCCGGGATGGGTGACAAAATCCGTTGAGACAAATCATGCCACGGATAAACGGTTTGGGGCTGGTTTAGGGTTGGTTGGGAATACCTGGCAAGACATTGGGGCGGGTTTGGGCTTGCAGCTTGGATTTGGCCGAGCGTGGGTAGGATTGACCTAAGCTGCTGATGGCGGTAAACCAACAAATTCAAAAAACACATGGCCTCCTTTCTTTGAAGGACTAGGAAAAGAGACATGGCGCAGGCTCTTTAACGCCGGTGAGCAACCAGTGGCGCATCAAAAAGGGGAACTCCACCTTCTGGTCCCAGCAGTGGGGAAGGGCCTGTTTTCTTCAAAGGGGCCCTTTCACGCCGTATTTGTTTCCTTTTCAAAGCCGGGAAGAAGAGCGGCTTTCCGAGGTGCAAACTGCAAATTGAGCTGGTTGGTGGAGCGCTGGTCATTTTAGAAGGTTGACCTTTTGAGGCCACGCGGGGAACCCAAACTAGCTTATTGAGTCGATTAGGCCAAGCAAGCTTCGAATGCTTGGTGTTACACTAAAATGGTTTTCCGCAAAAGTTGTCAAATCTAGAAATGAGGACACAAAAAACAAAGATCAAAGCCACCACAAACAAGCCAACAAGTGGAGGCCGACAGGTTCACAGGTCCTCTGTGATAGCTAGGTAGGCCACCAAAAGGCTCGGCATCATGGACTTGAAGATGTGGCCGTTTAGCCTCAGCTTTTGCAACCGGCTTGCGGAAGGGGTCTGCCTACAATTGGGGTGCACTTTGTCAAAAGTTGAACCAAACCTTTGCTGACAAAGTCTATGGCAAATGGGCCCGTTGGCAATTTAACATGGGACCCCAATGCATTCTGAGAGAAATCTGCCTGTAGGAGAGGCGAGTAGGATGTTGTTTGCTTCGAGCTTGGCAGATTGAGCAAGAAATATCGAAGTCGGATGTGCATATCTGTGATGCGCAAAACAGCGTAGGCACATTCTACCAAGCTCCCTCGAAAGAAGCGGGTGTGTGTGCTTGGCACCTCCCCTTTTCCTGAGGGCTCTTGCCATTGCCAAAGACTCGTTTGCTAGTTGCTGCTTGCTCTTCACTAACTCGCCCATTCACAACGTGGAATCGGAAACCCCCTCCTTTGCCATCTTGAAGCCGTGTTTGTTTGCTTTCTTCCCGCCTGCGTAGCGAAGGGTTCCCGTTTATAAGTGGGGGTCTGGGGGTGGAGGCCGTGTTCGCGAGGAGTGGCTCCAGAGTTCGCAGCCGTCCTCAACCGTCCGCAACCGTCCGCAACCGTTCGCAACCGTCCGCAACCGTCCGCAACCGTTCGCGGTGAGGCGAAAAGTGTCGCTCACAAGTATCGGTCGGAAGCGTCGACAGAAGTGTTGCTCGGAAGTGTCGATCAGAAGTGTTGCTCGGAAGTGTCGATCAGAAGTGTTGCTCAGAAGTGTCGATCAGAAGTGTGAATCAGAAGTGTCGATCCGAAGTGTGGATCAGAAGTGTCGATCAGAAGTGTGGGTCGAAAGTGTTGCGCAGAAGTGTTGATGAGAAGGGTTCCGTGTCGCCCAGAAGTGTCAATTCAGCAGTGTTGCTCAGAAGTGTCGTTCAGAAGTGTCGATGAGCAGTGTGGATCAGAAGTGTTTGTCAGAAGTGTTGCTCAGAACTGTCGATGAGAAGCGTGGATCAGAAGTGTTGCTCATCAGTGTCAATCAAAAGTGTAGTTCAGCAGTGTTGCCCAAACTGTCGATCAGAAGTGTCAATCAGAAGTGCGGATCAAAAGCGTTGCTCAGAAGTGTCGATCGGAAGTGTTGCTCAGAAAAGTCGATCAGCAAAAGCGTCGCTCGGAAGTGTTGCTCAGAAGTGTCGATCAGAAAAAGTGTGGTTCAGAAGTGTTGATCAGGTGTCGCTCAGAAGTGTCGCTCAGAAGTGTCAATCAGAAGTTGTGCTCAGACGTGTCGCTCAGAAGTCTAGTACGCGCTGGAAAATCGCGACTTTGTAGTACAAGTCTAGCACGCCAAGTACAGGTTTCCAGCTCTAGCTGGAAAATCGCAACTTTGTAGTACTAGCTGGAGAATCGCAACTTTTAAGTACAAGTGTAGTGCTCGAAATGCAGGTTTCCAATGCTAACTAGAAAATCGTATAATCAATAATACGTGAAGTACAAGTCTCCAGCTGTGGCTGGAAGATCGCAACTTTGAAGTGCAAGTATAGTGCGCGAAGTACAGGTTTTGAGGTCCAGCTTGAATATCGCGACTTTGTAGTACAAGTCTAGTACGTACAAAGTACAGGTTTTCAGCTCCAGCTGCACAATCGCAGCTGTGTAGCGCAAGCCTAGTGCGCGAAGTACAGTTTTCCAGCTCCGGCTGGAAAATGGCAACTTTGCAGTACAAGTCTAGCGCGCGAAGCGCAGGTGTCCATCTCCAGATTGAAAATCATAACTTTGTAGCAACAAGTGGAGCACGCAAAGTAAAGCTGAAAAACATAGTTTGCGCAGTTGGCTTGATTGCGAGCCCCATTGGCTTATACCGAAAAATGTTCTCTCTAATAATTTTTTGGTGTGCGCAAAGTGATGTCCATTCGGGTTCGTGGGCTCTGTCTTGTGTCTCTAGCGTGCCGGGTATCCATTTCACCTTGGTTTACATCGTTTGTCGGATCCCCAAACTTTGACCCTTTCGATTGACACCTCGGCTTTGCTTTTCAGAGGCGCGTAGTGCTTTCGAAGCCCATGTAGCCGACCAGGCACTCGTAGGCCATGCTGTTCGAGCCTCAGGCAAAGCCCCCTATGCTCTCTTGGATGTTGTTTCACTTGACTGCGCCCTTGTTGTTGCCGATAGTGGCACTGACCGTTGCGAGCGAAGCATCGCTTCTGCTGAAATTACATGTTGATTAAACCTGGAACTATCTGCAACGGCAACCAACGCCTGAGCAGTTCCCACCAGCTAGCACCTGAGCAGTTCCCAACAGCTAGCAGCTGTATGTTTGCATTTCCAACCTATTGAAAGCAGGAGCCAGAAACACAAGGAAGTACACTCTACATGGTTACACTATGCATTAGCATTCTGAAGGGTTCCACCACGAGTCCTTTGCAAATATCTTGCTCGTAGATGTATGCACAGCAAGTACTACTTTCCGGTGCTTCTATGGACTGTGTGCTCAATGCAGGTTGTTTGCTTGGTGATGTGCGCTCGACCTTTCAGACGGCAAATGATGGACCAAGGAGACCAACACCAGTCCACGCGAATGCAACCAGCAATCCTTCCCAACAATTCTTCCGGTAGCAAGACTTCTCCCGCCTGCGCTTGTGCCGCTGCCAAGGTCCACCAGAACACCCATGGTCTGCAGAAAAATGCTGAACTCACCTCAGAAGGCAAAGGGGACCTTTGAAATTACTTCGCTTCAAGCAATGCCCGCCCTCCACACTCACGAGGCCAAGCCCCTTCCGAAAAGAAACCCAACGGGGCTAATTCACAGCCCAAAGCAACACAAAAGCATCACCCTCTGCGAGCCTCAGGGTACACTCAGAACACGAAGGCACCAACATGAAATGTAAGCCCAACTGTGCGCCGGGCGGGACATTAAGCAAAACCAGACTGGCGAGCTGCTCTGGCGGGATACTGGCGTCATCCACTGACGAATACTGGCGAGCCGCTCCGGCTCCATACTGGCCGGATACTCGGCAGGATCCACCGGCAAGGGATACTCAGCGGGAAACTCGGCGGAGCTACTCTGGAATACTCAGCAGGATACTCGGCGGGATCCAGTCACGCTGCTCTGGTGGATACTTGGCGGGATCCACTGGCGGGCTACTCTGGCAGGATACTCCTATGCTCTGGCGCGGGATCCACTCGCGAGCCGCTCTGGAGGGATACTCGGCGGGATCCACTGGCGAGCTACTACTACTCTGGGGCACTTAGCGGGGTACTCGAAGGGATCCACTGGCGGGCTGCTCTGGCGGGATACTCGGCGGGATCCACTGGCGAGGCTCTGGCGGGATACTGGGCGGGATTTACTGGCGAGCCGCTGTGGCAGGATACTTGGCGGGATTCACTGGGGAGCAGCTCTGGCGGGATACTTGGCGGGATCCACTGGCAAGCTGCTCTGGCGGGATATTTGGCGGAATCCACTGGCGAGCTGCTCTGGCGGGATACTGGGTGGGGGCGTGGTGTAGAAGCATCGCATTCCAACATAACATTTAAAAACCCCTTCCTGTTGGGTGGGGAAAACTCATTTTGTGTGGCCTTTTGTGGTTCAAAAAGGGGACCTATAATCTGAACAACCCACACATGAGAACAGACCGGGTGTGGTCATCAATGTAGGGAGCCAACTGGATCTGCGTCAAAAGGCAAGGCTACTCATTGCTTTGGCGCATCTTGCGCACTGCCTTACGCGGCAAAAGCAAATTCAATTGCAGAGTGTTTATCACAGTTTGCTGCAAACGACACAACCATTTCTCCAATCTTCTCAGCAACACCAATCGCACTTGTCTGATCAACGCAAAGGCAATGTGTTTTTGCTAAAGATGCGTCTCCGCACGCCCTGTTTTCTCAGCATTTGTATATGCCACCTTGCGCCACTTGGAGGCTTTGGCTTCCGCAACAAATCAATGAAGCACAACTCTTAAACAACGTTAGACCTGTTAGAGGTCTGAGACCAACTCCTTCGCGTTTCGGCTTCGGCGCTCTGCATGGTGTGGAAGATCCCCGTCTGCATGGCCGCGGCCACGGAGCTGCTGGCCACCGTGCTGAAGGACATCAGCTGATTCGTCAGCACGGCGCCTCGTTGCGGCATGTGCGGGTTGGGAGCGAAGCATCTTGCGCAAAATGCCGGAAAACATATTGTTGGGAATCAATACCAACGATCCAACACAGGAAAGCGAAAAAAGACACGTCCTGATGCTGCTGAATGACTCACTTTGCGGGATTGGATCGAGTCAGGAAAAGAAATGCAAGTCTAGTACATGGATCGAGCTCGCTACATATGGCTTCCCTCTGCAAACAAAACAGGAAAAACGGGAAGCAACAGCTGTGAGGAGGGAGCAAACAGACCTTGCGTCGCAAGCAGGGTGCGGGAACTGTTGTCCCAGTTCCTTCCCATCTGCAACTATAGCTCAATTCATCATTGCACAAGCTAGATTGCAAATGGCGCGCTCCCCTGCTGCGTGGCTCTTTTTGGGGTGCATCTAGGTATCGGCACACGGACGCACACACACACACACACACAGACACAGGGGCAGGGGCAGGGGCACTGGCCCGTCCTAGCTGTCCAAGTGTTCGAGATATTGCGCAAGCAATTGCGCTAAAGAACAAAAGAGTCCGCCGCTGGCATCTGTTGTCAGTACCCTGATACTTTGCAATCTTGGCAGATCCATCCCACTTGTTAAGTTGGTCATACAGAAAACCAGGTCATGACAATGGTTGTAGCGCTGTTCCTTGGTTGGGATGAAGCGGTGGCTCCTTTGAATCCGCAACCAGTGCTGACCTTCCATCCGTCCGCTGAATCTCTCGCACATTAGTAGCCATGCCGCTGTGCTTCTTCTTGTGGGCAGCACCGCGAATACCCGCCACTGCCACAAAGAACAGGATGATGTCCTGTTGGCGCATAACAAATATGTTCACTTTAGAAGGCCGTGTTGGATTCCGGAAGGAGAAAGTCAACATCAAGGTCGAGCCTTGCTCAGGTATGTGTATGTGTCTGTGTTTGTGTGACTGTACAACTTTCTTACTTCGCTAGCGTCTACCAACATGTGCACTATAGTTCCGTCAAATCATGACATGGTCAAGCATTACAGTATATTGCCTTACGCCAATTCGCTGTGCCCTCCCTAAAGCGGCCAGGGAAACAACAGACATTCTTTTGGGCGGTGGTCAAATCTGAAAAGAACCCCGCAACAAAAAGAAAGGGCACGGGAGATCACGGACCTCCCTCTGCTCGCCATCTCCGTCCTTTGCCAACACGAAGGCGATGCACAAGGCGTGGGCTTTGGTGTCCTCCGGGTCGGCACACTTCACGCAGGACACCACGCTGGTGTCCCCCTTGGCGTAGCCGGCCTAAGGCAGCAGCTTAAATAATGGATTCATGCATGAATCTCCTGCATGAAATTCTGAGTGTTTTTTCCCGTCCTCCGGGTCTTTCTAAAATCGGAGTACTTTCTGCTCTTAGAAGGCTCACTCCGGTTACACGCTTATTCTCAGATACAAAGGGGGGAACTTATGGCGGGATGTGGGACGCTACCCTGGCCGGCTGACTTGACCGTGTCTTGGCTCAGGACCCCTCTTGGATCAAGCGTGGACTAGCTGACTAGCCCACACTTCTGGTCAGAAGAAAACAACATCAAACGGGAATAGTGTCCCCGACCTGATGTATGAAACCTGCCCTCTGTTGCCTCTGGAAGTCAAAACCTGCAAGATGGTGAAAACAGAACTCCCTCAGCAAAAAGGCCCCCGAAAACAGTTCCAGTGCTTCTCCAAAATCGGTCCTTCAGACTTGTGCGACGATCAAACAACCATGGTAAACATGGCCATTCCTTTGGAACCCTCTTTCAAGCCCGAGGTTCGTCGCAAGTGGAGCATCCAGGCCCTGTGTAGCCCTTCGAGCACATTGGTTTCTTCCTGTCGGTGTCTCCTGTCGCAGAGACCTTGGGACAAAACGCAGCCTTTTGAAGGCACGCGACAAAATACGTTGCGGCAGGGGGTTTCGCCCATGTTAAAACAAGCCTCGAACTAACCACTTGGAAGGGTTCTAGTTCTAATGCCATGCCATCTACATGGAGTCTTGCGTTGCCCAAACTCTGCCAGCGACTTGGTGATAACTGTCGTGGGGGAACACGCACATACATGTATGCGTGCAGCCCTGCATGCCCATCGAGCGATGTGAGTCCCAGATGTGGCCCTCAAGGGGCAACGGGGAGGCCCCAGTTCCATGCATCTAGCCTTCCCTGCCAAGAGGAAGCGGAACCAAACAAGCGGGATTGGTTGCATCCGCTCTTAAATGGCGTTGCCCCCCTCCAAATCAAGCGTTTCATACATCCTGGGTTCCGAGTACACCGGTCTTGCTGTCTTGCCTAATGGCTAAAAGGATCTCCCCCAGCCGCGCGCGCAAATTCCCGGAAGCGCTTTCTGTCACAAAGTTGAGCTAGCTTCTCCCCCGAAAGTGCGCGCCGAAAGCCCGCATAGTCCTCCAGGGCAGGCCTTCGCATTGGGGCAGAAGTAGGTTTGACTGAGGTTGTGGAAGAAGAGCATTTGACCTCCGCAGCTCCCAAAGCCCAGAAGTGGCCAGAAGCAACACAATCATCATTTACGGACTTTCTGAAAAAGATCATAAATCGCTGGCGAGGTCACTCCCCTTGCGGTTTGCGGGGAGTGCGCCCAAATAATTCCGGCTCTTCATTCCAAAAACGAAGGCAGGCGGTGAGTGAACCCAGTCACCGGCTGGGTGTGCTTTCTGCTGGCCCACGGCGGACAAGGGTATTTGCATACCCCCGTCTGTGTGAGTCCGTGTTTCTGTGTTCGGCTGATTTGAAAAATCAGCCCGGGTTACCCAAACGGAGAAACAAAAACGAGGGAATGACAGCCCATGGGGCGCCATGTCAACACCAATCCACAGCCCGAGCCCCCAAAGAAGCAGTTAACCACTAAGGCCCCTGATCAAAAGCCGTTGTCCAAGAAGGTCAGCCAAGCCACCAAGCCCGAGCACCAACTCGGACATAGAGAAGGGTCCAAGGACTCTCCTCAATGAAGGCGCGCTCAACCTCATCCTCAAGGAGCGCTGCGCTAGAGTAGTTTTCTGCGGTGGTCGGGGCCAAAGGCCGGGGCGTCGACTCCGTGAGGTCTCTTAAGGATTCAGGTGGAATGGCTGGCATGTTGTAAAGCTCTGGGCAGCCTGTCCTTGGCGCTTATCCTCCAGCTCCTTGAAGACTTCTTGGGGGCCGCGTTCTCCACCACCTTCTTCTGGACCCAGGCCAGCAAGGCCGCAGCGGTTGGTCCACTGAAGTCCTCAGTGTCCACGTAGTCTCCGAGGAAGTTCCACCAGTACTCTGTTCTGAGCGTCCCTTTGTTCCGCAGCCGTTGCTGCATCCATGGCGTGTTCCACTGGAAAAACAAAAACCAAGGCCGTGCCAAGGGTAACCGCGGGATCAAGGGAGCCTCGAGAGGGGAGACGTCCGAGAAAGCACCAGGCGCTTCAGGCTGCAGCAAATGGAACTTGGCCCTAAGACATCCTTGTTTCATCAAACAAGTTTGGCCGCTCTTTGGGCAAAGGAAACCATGGAGGGAACATTGCGCAGTGGCCTTCAAACTCTTCAGCTCCCTTCCTGATGGGTTGTCCCAGGACGAGACAAGATGTGACACAAGCCTGTGGCAGACCTACGACAGAGCCTATGATAGCCAGATGTGACAGACAGCTGTGACAGACAGCTGTGACAAAGCCTGTGACAGACAGCTTGAGGCTCCCATCAATGGCCGGGCTGGCCGTGACATATTTGAACTCTGTCTGGACAGCTTGAGTTTTTGAGCCCGACAAAAACCAACAACGAAGCGCATTCTTGGATCCGGGTCAATGCTTGTCCAAAAATAAGTTTGATTTCACAGGTCTTTCAAGGACGGTCTTTCGGCCCTCCCAAACGCGACATCCGACACCGCACCTTTGGGCATTTTGATGAGATCATGCTGGCAGCGCTCTGCAGTGGCAGGGCCTCGGCATCTTAGAAGAGGCCAACTGAGCGTCAGTGAAGCGTGGCAAATGGTAAAGGGGTACAGAGCGCGGTGTTGACCATGAGCACCCTCAAAAAACCACAGGCATCGTCGGGCAAACGAAACCCGTGCTTTCCAAAAAAGATGTCCGAAACCAGCCATCCCTGCACTCTCTCGCACTGCCTAGGATTACTCGCTCTTCCCGCGCAAACATCACTCGATCAAAAGGAAGGTCAGTCCAAAATTGGTTGCGGCGTCTGCCTGCAACGCGGATCCCCGACAAAACGCAAACATTCAAACACATGTCTCCTGAACTTCGTGTCATTCCCCAACTCCCCCCCATGAGTGAAACACACTGCGTGTCAAAACTATGGGCCGGGCCACGTAAGAAATGGTTGTTTTCCTTTAAATTTCCTTTTGGCCCAAACTGGAGAAAACACAAAAAACAAAAAACAAGACACAAACCAAAAAAAGGCACAGGCCTCCAGAAAGGGACGCCACGGGGGCTGTGGTTTTTGCCGGCTGTAATTCCAGTACGAAGAAACAACATCATCAGTATCAAAGAACCAAGCAAACCAAAAACAAAATAGAAACGAGGTTGCAAACTTGAAGGGCAAGGGCAATTTGGTTTCCTCGGGGTTTTGCCGGATTTCACCCTAAGTGCCCAAAACCTCGGGAACACCTAAAAACCAAGAAGACAAAAAGAAACAAGATTGCAGACTGCAAAGGGTAGGCCAGCAAAAACCTGAGAACACCACACAACAAGGTAACCCAAAACAACAAGATGACAGACCCCAAGAAAATGAGCCCAAGGGGGTTAACATCTGCAATCTGTTGTTGGTGTTGCTGGTGACACAACGAAACAGATCGCAGACCCTCCAGGGGTAGGCCCGAGGGAGCCATGGTCTGCAAGCTTGGTTTTGTTGGCTCTCTTCTCTCAACGGGGAGTTTATGAAAAACAAGAAAGCAGAAACAGAATTGCAAACTTGACCGGGCTGGTTTGTTCAACTTCCTCGCGCTTTTGCTGGATTTTTGTTCCCGAAAGCATCGCGAAGGGTTCTTCCGTGCGGAGCCCTTGGACAAGTTACACAGACAAGTTGCACAGAGGCAAGTTACATAGAGCCAAGTTACATAGAGCCAAGTTACATAGAGCCAAGTTACATAGAGCCAAGTTACATAGAGCCAAGTTACATAGAGCCAAGTTACATGGAGCCAAGTTACATAGAGCCAAGTTACATAGAGCCAAGTTACATAGAGCCAAGTTACATAGAGCCAAGTTACATAGAGCCAAGTTACATAGAGCCAAGTTACATAGAAGTTACCCAAGTTACATAGAGCCAAGTTACATAGAGCCAAGTTACATAGAGCCAAGTTACATAGAGCCAAGTTACATAGAGCCAAGTTACATAGAGCCAAGTTACATAGAGCCAAGTTACATAGAGCCAAGTTACATAGAGCCAAGTTACATAGAGCCAAGTTACATAGAGCCAAGTTACATAGAGCCAAGTTACATAGAGCCAAGTTACATAGAGCCAAGTTACATAGAGCCAAGTTACATAGAGCCAAGTTACATAGAGCCAAGTTACATAGAGCCAAGTTACATAGAGCCAAGTTACATAGAGCCAAGTTACATAGAGCCAAGTTACATAGAGCCAAGTTACATAGAGCCAAGTTACCAAGTTGCATAGAGCCAAGTTACATAGAGCCAAGTTACATAGAGCCAAGTTACATAGAGCCAAGTTACATAGAGCCAAGTTACATAGAGCCAAGTTACATAGAGCCAAGTTACATAGAGCCAAGTTACATAGAGCCAAGTTACATAGAGCCAAGTGGCACAGAGCCAAGTGACACAGAGCCAGGTGGCACAGAGCCAAGGTTAGGTAGAGCTTGCGTAGAGCTTCGGCGTAAGCAGCTATGTAAGTTAGTTTAGGTTTCTAAGGCGCCGGGGCGGGAGTTTGATCATCGCTCGGGATTGCGACCGATTCGCGTGGTCGAGGTCAAAAAACTGGGGACTTTTTACGATTTCTGCGGTCCGCGCGCGACCCTCTGCGGAGATTCGCGTGGTCGAGGTTAAAAAACTGAGGACTTTTTACGATTTCTGCGGTCCGCGCGCGACCCTCTGCGGAGATTCGCGTGGTCGAAGTTCAAAAACTGAGGACTTTTTACGATTTCTGCGGTCCGCGCGCGACCCTCTGCGGAGATTCGCGTGGTCGAGGTTCAAAAACTGAGGACTTTTTACGATTTCTGCGGTCCGCGCGCGACCCTCTGCGGAGATTCGTCGAGGTTCAAAAACTGAGGACCCAGACATTATCCACCATCTTCCAACTGGTGCCATCCGCCAAGGGGACCTCCAAGGTGGCCCGGGACTCCAACACCCGTGCTCGACCACAGGCGGGAGTGAAGCAGACAAACGGTGCCGCCTCGGAAGGCGTCCCAATTCCAAGCCCCTGTCTCCTCAGGCAATCCGACAAGTTGAGCGACTGGATGCGCTGCCGAAAGATGCCCTCCCAAATTGAGGATGAAGTCTTCCACCCGAGTGTCCCCATCCATGGCTGTGACACACTTGGCTAGCGCAACCTGCCAGTCGGTAGGTACCCCGCTTTGCCTCTACTGCCTCCACCACACAGAACACAGAGTCTTTCAGGTCGGCCTGTGTGAGCTTTGGAGGATGGGTGTTTGTCCCGGGGTCTCAAGCTTGTGGCGCATGTGTATCAGGCCACTCAGCGTGAGCGTGGGGTCCTTTCTGGTGGCGGGGAGGGTGCTGTCGAAGTGATGCCGCACCTTGTTCCTCTCCTCTCTGTTGAGGCGCTCGTACCTCTTCCACGTCACTTCTTTGATGGGGAGCCCCTTCATGGTGAGGCGGGGCTCGCAGTCATACCCATACCAGCGCTCCACTGCCGGGCGCCATGTTTCCTCCGCAAAGAAGTCCCAAACCGCCTTTTGCTTGAGGGAAGGTGCCCCCTCCAGCTTGTCCAGCGCCTCCAAAGCAACATGTGGTACCGAACCAACATGGACCTGGGCCTGCAGCCAGTCCAACAGTGGGATGGCTGCCAGTTGTCAACCACCACGTAGTCCTTCACAACCAACCGGGGTGTAGAGGTAGCCGAGGGGAAGCATCAAGATCGGCCGTCTCCCACCCTAGGGGAGTCAGCGCATGACGCAGCCGTCCACCCTCCAGTGGAGACAGCCCCACCAGGCCCGGGAACCTTCCGGTCATCAACCTCCATGGCCGCCATCGTCTCGCTCAACTTGTCCGCTTCCTCAGGACCAGCCGCCTCCCCAGGGGTGGTAACAGCGCATGACGCAGCCGACACACCCATGGTTTGGCAAGCCTGCTCTCCAGTGGCAGCCGTCACGCTCTTGCCTCCCCAGCCTCAACCATGTCCTCCCCAATCTCCTCAACGGTCACCATGTCCACATCCAGGCCCTGCTGGGCCACAGCGACCTTAGCAACGTCGGAGAACTCCTGGGCCATTGCACAGAGTCGTAGAGAGGCAAAAAACAAAAAATCACAGTCTTGAGCCAAAATGGCCCTGCATTTGGCAGTGTGTCAATCCCTGGCCCTATGACATCCCCGTACGCATGTACGAGTACGCACAACACAGTAAACCAAAAGACCTTCCCCTGCATAAAAATCCCGCGAACCAAAACGAAATTTCGACGCCGCTTTTGCGGAAACCCCGTTCGCTTGACCGCAAGCAATTCCGCCATGTCCGCTTTCCGCCAAAACCTACTCTCAGGCGGCCATTTGGGAGGTTGAGAGACAAACGCGCATCATCGCTTGGGCAGCCCGGCAGATCGCGCAGGCCTCCCTCGCGTTTTGCTCCACCTGCACCCGGCCCGGGGGGCAAGGCCAGCAGAAGGTGCTGTCCGGGAGCAATTCATGCCCAGCGCCGCGCTGGCATTCCAGCTCCGACACCTTGCGTTTTGGGCCCGCGGGTTGGTGTTTTGTTGGAGGGTGTTTTCAGGATGTTTTGGAGCCAACATTTGGGTGTTTACGAAAAACGCGGCCAACAGTTCAGATCAAATAAGGCGCGACTTCTATGTGTTTGTGTGTGTGGTTTCGGGTTGTTACGCTTTGGTGGTGGGGAAAGGTCTGCGAGGGGACCCGGCAGCCATCAAAGGCGTCTGTCCTTTTTGGAGGTTTCTCGTATTGGTGTGTTTGTGACGTGGAGTGATTTGGGTTTGGGGAGACTCATGACCCCCTTTCTTGGGGGCTTCATCCCTTTTGGAGTGGGACCTTTGACGCCGTCGACTTTGAAGGGAACCCCCTGCCCCCAAAAACACACACGCACACACACGAACACACGAACACACGAACACACAAACACAGAGACGCAGAGACACAGACAGACACAGACAGACACAGACAGACACAGACAGACACAGACAGACACAGACTAAAGCATACTGTGGAATGTTCTTGTCTTTTGCTAAAGGTGACATATGCATTATGTCTATTTGATATTCAAATCGTGCGAATGGAGCGGTATAGGAATTAGTACCTCTATAATTTTTGATTTGTGTATTTGGTTGTTTCTTTAAGAAAGACTTTACATCGTCTAATGTTATTGTTGGGTCTTCTTCCTTTGCCTTCTCGTGTGTCGCTTGTGTGCTTCCCAAACCCTCGTCTAAGTCGTAATAGATGTTGCTGATTACTTGGTTTTTGTTAATCTCGCCATTATAATAAATTGATAGGATTTTTTTTTTCAACATAAACCCCGCCCCTTAACATAAAATACATACTACTTAAAGAAATATTAACGTATTATATTAAGTGAAAATATGGCTGAAATAAGATTAGAGGACTTGAATTTAGAACATGTCGGAGTGATTGCTGACTTATCAAACTTGACGCTATCAGACGAAGAAGATGATGATAATGACAGTTATAGAAAGGAATTAGAAGAAGAGTTAAACAAAATAAAGGATTTCATCAAAAGACACCCTTTGCCACCAGTTGATGACAACGAAGAATTCTGGAAAGATGTCATTAGCAGGTTTAGGGATAATAGCGGATTAAACTTGATGGCAATATACTCATTTGTTAGGTTTGACATCATGAAAGAAATGTATGAAAACCTAACAGATGAAGAAATCATAAAAGACTGTGGTAAAAAGTTAAACCGAGATGGAAAGTTGAATGCAATGATTATTCACCACTATATCTTATCAGGAGCGATACAAAAACTAAACAAAGAAGACAGTCTAGTAGATGGACAGATGCGAATTATTGAATTCTGGTGGGATGGAATAGGTGAATGGAAAGCGTGAGTGATTTAGTTTAATGATATTATTCAATTATAATATGATTAAACCTAGTTTTTATAATCTAACAAGAAGGTTAAGACATTTAAATTAAACCTGAAACCCAGACCAGCCGACCAGCAACCCCTAGCCAAAACTACTTAAAGAGAAAAAACCTTATATATGAAGAGAAAAATGAGTGAGGGTAAAATGTCAGAGAATAATTGTATGGTTGAGAATTGTGCTAGCTTACCTATGGAAGCATTGTTAAACATCGCTTCTTATATGATTGGCAATGAAGGGTGGCAAAGACTAAAACTGTGTAAAGCATTAAGGGTCTTACAAAGGAAATGGAAACCGTCTATTTTTGCACGAGAAGGAGAAAGTAGATATTATGTGTTGATTAGCAATATATGTTTGAAAGGTGATAAAGCACTTTCATATGCGTTGAAACCACCAAAATAATTATTAAGAATGATGAAGTATGATGAAGAAATAAAGGTTGGAATAGAAGTTAGTTCGAACATTATGTATAAGAATAATACTTGCAACTGTAGTTCTTATGCATCAAGCAAACAGAACAAGATAACAAGTAGAGCGTCATTACAATTCTATATTGAAAAAATAGTTGAAGAAATAAAACAGACTATGAAACGATACGAAATCATTACTATAGAACATATTACATTTGAAACTTATACATAACAGAAACAAAGATTTCATGGCTTAATCATAATATTTAATTATAATATGATTAAACATTGTTTTATAATCTAACAAGAAGGTTAAGACATTTAAATTAAACCTGAAACCCAGACCAGCCGACCAGCAACCCCCTAGCCAAAACTACTTAAAGAAATATTACCTTATATATTAAGAGGAAAATGAACGGTGACAAAATCAATAATTATATCAATAAACAATGCTATGATTGTTGTCACTTCAAAAAAGAAAATATGGAATTGTATAAATTGAATTTACCTAATGAAATAGTTAATCATATTATTAACTATTCAATGGATGGTGAAGAAGACGAATGTGAAAATTGTAAAAACTGGAGAGATAATCATTTTTTAATCAAATGTCTGTTGGGAATAAAAAGAATACATAATAGAAATGTACAAGATGAGATTTTAATATGTTTAACTGTAAATAAATTACCACCTTACGAATATGTTAATCAGTTTCTTAAAATCAGTAAGAACAAATATGTAATGATTGATGATATAATATGGATGTCGTGTTATAGTCATAAGAAAGGAGAAGATATTAAAGAATATATCAAATTTTATATTGAAATTAAAACGTTTAATGTTAAAAATACAGTGAGATATATTAATATTATTTTTAAAATGATGTATGAAATAAGTAAGATTTGTCAATTAAATTATTATCCTGAACTGAAAGTATAATCATAATATAATAATAACATGTAAAATCTAATATGTTATAATTATACTGAACTTTTAACCTATAACACCCCTTAAACTTATCTAAAGAAATAACCCCTTAAACATATAGAGACCAATGACAGACAAAAAGCAATGTTCCAAATGTAAAGTCTTTCAATTGTTAGAAAAGTTCAACGAAGGAAGAACACAATGTAATGTATGCTTGGTCAAACGACGGTATAGAGAAGCACACAAAGAAGAAATACAACAAAAAGCAAAAGAATACTACAACAATAACAGGGAACCAATTCTTCAAAAGAAATATGAAGCCAGACACAAAGCAGTACGCGAGTATTACCAAAACAAACCCAAGAAATCAAATGACCCGCCCAACACCCCAGACATAACAACTACTAAAAGTCCTAACCTCTTTCAAAGCGACAAAATGTCAGCAACCAGCCCAACAATGAAACAGGCGACGATTTACCCAAATGATTACCTTAACGAAAACGATAAATAAGCTCCCCAAAAACACCCTTTTAAAAACGAATAAGGTGGTTAATAGGTTTGAAACAAATATAAAAAGCATAACAGGCAACCATCAACAGGTCACCCCTCAGCATCCCCCTTTTCTCCATTTTTCCCCCTCCCCCTCCCCCTCCCCCTCTCCCTCTCCCCTCTCCCTCTCCTCTCTCCCTCTCCCTCTCCCTCTCCTCTCCCTCTCCCTCTCCCCTCTCCCTCTCCCTCTCCCTCTCCCCTCTCCCTCTCCCCTCTCCCCTCTCCCCTCTCCCCTCTCCCCTCCCCTCTCCCTCTCCCTCTCCTCCCCCTCTCCCCTCTCCCCTCCCCTCCCCTCCCTCCCTCCCTCCCTCCCTCCCTCCCTCCCCCTCCCTGCACGCCGGGATCTTTGCCACCCATTGTGGACTTCATTGAGGTTGATGTTTTGCATGGTTGGAATTTGAGTTGTTCAGCTTGTTTGTGTTGAAACCAAAATGCGTAGTGTGAGACAAGTGAGCACTAAAACAGAAACAAGGGTCCGCAAGCAACCTGTGCATAACGGGACGGAAAAAATCGCCCCGGACGTTTCATGCCACTTGCCAGCAAAAGCGAAGGGTAAATAGTGGGACCGCCCCTGCCAAGGGTCTGAGAACCTTTTCTGGGAGGGCAGTGTGCTTCAGGCATGCGCTAGGAATCCAACCCTGGCATCGGTGTGCCTTGGGCCAGATCCCGCCCGTTTGTCCAACAAAAGGTATGGGTCAAGTTGGGGGAGCAAGACTTGAGCCACATGGCCATTCGGCACATGCGTATGAGAGCAAGTATCACGTGAACAAAACACAGCAACCCGCGGCCGCCGCGATGGCCCGGTTGATGTCCCCCCTTCATGGCCATGGGCCCCATAGGCCGTCGGTAAACTGTTGGGGTAAACATGAAATCCCATTTGGCTGCCGTCCGCCCGTCCGCCCATCCACCCATCGCCCGTCCGCCCGACCGCCCGACCGGCCGTCCGGAGTCGCGCGCCTTCACGGTCTGAGCCTTGAAGCGGCAGAGAGCAATCTGAGAGCAGTTCGCGAGGCCCAGCTCCAAAGGCGCCTCCAGGACTGCGATGGTGGAGATCTGAGCGCCGAAATCTGGCGAATGTGAGAGGACCCCAAAACCAAGACTTTTCATGTAAAAACCGGTGGCCACAAAACCGGATTCGTCGAATGGGGGTAAATGGGCAAGTGGATAGCCTGGCTGACTGGCGATAGCCAAGAAGCAAACGAGCTAACTAGCTGGCAAGCTATTTTAGCCAAGCAGCCAACTAGAGAACTAGGAAATTGCTGGCTACTTAGCCAAGTGCATTTTTGCGGCTCCGTATGCAAAGCTTGAAGAAAACTGAAGCATGCTTGATAAACAAACAATCGAACAACAACCCCAGCTTCATCAACCTCCAACCTCCGGGCAGCTTTCAATAGAAGCTTGGGGGACTTGGTAACTGCGATGTGTTTGTATCTCAGGGATAATCAGCCAAACATGGTGAGCAAACCTTTTACAAAACGCATCAGTGCCTGAGTTGATTCGGACAACGAGCCCAAACTTGGTTGCTTGCGAAAAAGTTGAGTCCAGAATGGGGGGAGTGAGGCCCGAAAATGGACGGTGATCCTACCTCGATCGGCCGTCCAGACAGCCTGTTCTGTGCTTGTTCTCATCTTTTGTCCGCACCCTGGCAGATGATGACAATCATCCCGGCAACACACAAGTCCAATTTGCTCTAGGCTCGTGGGTGAACTACAAATCCGGAAACACTGAGCACTACCAGTTAACACGCCTGCTTGTTTCTGGGTGTCCCAAAAACTTCTCCAGAAGGCATGGACGCATCCCAAGAACAAACACTCTTTAGGCCCAGAAATCGACCCATCTGTTTTGGGACGTGGCCATCCTACCCGGCCACCCGGCACTTTGCGCACAGCCCGAGTTGGTTCACGTCGGGGCGCGCTCCAGTCCGAATACTTCGAGATGACCTGACGAAATCAAGAAGTCTTCATAAAAATGGAAGGCAAGCAGCTGTGATATTGCATGCTTGCGCAACAGACCAATCTGACAAGCAAATCCACGATGGACTGCGAAAGCAAAACTGGACCGCTGCAATGCAAACACACCCACACACACATCAAACTTGCAATTCACCAGCGCTCTGTAGACCTGCTACAAAGCGCATACTGCTCGAACCACGCTGCTTTCTCTCAAAAAGTCCAAAGAGTCAAAGAGCAGCGGCCTGGGCTCATTGGCTCATTGGCCCTGCGGCCTTGGGTCAATCGCGCTCGAATCGCGTGCCTCCACAGAGTCCACTGTGGTGGCCTTTCTGCTCAGGATGGCAGCTCCTGCATCATTCGGGCTATCAGGCTCTCAATTGGATTCCGAAGCCAGGGGGGTTGTTAAGAGGATTCGAGGAAATTGGGTTGATGCTTGGGCCAATCCAAAGAGCCTGGCATCCTCAGCAAACACACTTGAAGCTTCCTCAGCCGTGCTCTCGTGAGTCGTTCACTGGGACTGGGAACTAACCCAACATTCTCAATTGAAATCCAAGGCTCTCATTCATCCTGCTAGCACAAGTGCTCACATGTTTTGCAGATCTGCTTATTCCTCTTTACTAGGCAAAAAGAAAGTCTTGCCAGCGAAGAGATCTTGCAAGGCTCCTGAGCCGTCTGCGTGGCAGTCCTCAAATACGACCCGCCGCAGCTTCGTCACGCCATTCGTGAACAACTGAGCGTCCAGTCAGCTGTCAAACTCGCACAACAACTGTTGATTCAAAAAGCAGGCTGCAAAGCTCAGCTGGCCCCAAAACCTAACACACACACACCACAAGAAACAAATGGGAAACCACACATCTCGAAAAAACAGCGCAACATTTCTGGGTTTCATGCGATGCCCAGAGGTGCCCACGACTGACCTGTTGAGTCTACTGGCCAGGAAAATCTCAGACTTTTTACGGAGTGACTCAAAAAAACGAAGATATTAGCCAACAACAAAAAAACACTACGCCGATGCAACCGGTCCGAGCCGTCATTAATTATCTGACACAATCCTCGTGATTGAAATACTCCTTTTGCTGGTGCTTGGGAATGACCCAACAGGTATGGCAAGGGCACATTTTGCACTAGGCCTTAGTGAACATCCGAGGCAAGGTGCTCCACCGCCAGTCTCGTATGAGCGGCACCGCTCGAAGGTGGCATAGGCAAAGTGCTGGTGCCACCCACCTGGCAGAGGTTGTGGACTCCTCAAGCAATCAAATCCAACTCCGAACAAACAGCCAGAGCCTCTTTGGGAAAACTAAAGACATTTGAAAACTACGAGCTAGTAGCACCAAGAAACCTGCAAAATGCGAAGCTGCATCTGAACCAATGCACCCTGGCATGGAGGCCCAAGATTGTAGGGTGAGTTGCCGTATGGGTCCCGAGATAGAAACGTAGATAAGTAGATGGATACAAGATAGATAGATAGATCGATAGTTAGATAGATAGATGGATAGATTTATAGATAGATAGCTAGCTAGAAAGAGAGAAATAGATAGATGAGATAAATAGATAAATAGATAAATAGATAGATAGATAAACGTACAGATAGATAGATAGGTAGATACAAAGATAGAAAGAAAGAAAGAAAGATAGGAAAGAACGATAAGAACAGATAGATAGATAAATAGATACATAGGTAGATAGATAGATTCGATTAGATTAGATTAGGTTAGCTAAATAGATTAGATAAATAGGTTAGGTTAGATTAGATTAGGTTAAATTAGATTAGATTAGATAGATAGACAGACAGGTAGATAGATAGACAGATAGATAAATAGATTGGATGGATAGATAAACAGATAGATACATTAGACAGACAAATAGATAGATACATACATAGATAGGTAGATAGATAGGTACTAGCTGCATAGATAGATAGATAGATAGGGATTCGATAGATTAGATAGATTACATAGACAGATGAATAGATCAAATAAACAAATAAATATAATACAATTAATAAATAGCAGACGTTCAAATTGCAAATGAGTAATTCAACCGACGGATAGACAAAGAGAGTAAACACGAAGAAGCACACAGATAGATAGGAAGGTAGACAAACAAAGACATAGATAGATAGATAGATTCATAGACAGAGAGACAAAAACGGACGGACAGACAGACAGACAGACACACAAACAGACAGACACAGAACGACAGACAGACAGGTAGATGGACAGGCAGATAGATAGATGGATAGATGGATAGATACATACATAGATGTATAGGTTTAGATAGATTAGGTAGATAGATTGCACAGATAGGGAATAAAATTAACAGAAACATAAAAAGACAAGTAAGATACAAGATGACAAACGCAGAAACGCAGACGTTGAAATAGTAAATGAATAACTGAATGGACAGATAGAAATACATATATATATATATATATGTATATGTTTGTATGTAGATACAGAAAGTTGAATATATAGATAAATAGATAGACACACACACAGACAGACAGGCAGACAGATACACTAGATAGATAGATAGACAGAAAGATACATAAATAAATAAATAGATCGATAGATAGATAGATAGATAGAATGTGAGCTAGAAAGATTAATTAGCTAGCTAAACAGATAAGTGAATACATAGGTAGACAAATCAAAGAGCAGGCAGGAAGAGAGACAGAGAGCTGACAAATATATTAGACGGATAGATGGATAGATAGGTAGATGGATGAATAGGAATAAGACAGAGGAGCAGACAGAAAGGCAAGATAAACAGATAGATAGATGGGTGGATGGGTGGGTTGATGGAAGGATGGATAGATTGCTGGCTAGGGTAGAAAAATAAACATAGATTAGATCGATAGATCGATCGATTGACAGATAGATATATCGATATAAATAAATAAAGAGAAAGATGATGATAACGATAAATGATAAGACAAACATAATGTTAAAATGGAAGGTAAGGTAAAGCGAAAGAGGGAAAGAAGAGACGGAGAAATAGAAGAGGGATGAAAGAACGTAGAAATAGACATGTGAAAGAATTACAAGAGAAAGAGAAAGATAAAGAGTGAGATAAGGAAAAGTGAAGCAGAACAAAAAGAGAGGAAATATAATTATGTATTATATAGTACTTGTATTTTAGACACTTCCGACAACCAGCTCTGCCAGCTCTGCTTGAAATGCCTGGGTTCGTCTTTGTTTGAGGGCACCCTTTTTTGGGATTGGCTTTGAAATTGAACCGACAGAAAGAAACACCATTTGCGGTTCCAATTCCAATTTTGGCCTGGGTTTTAGCCGCCCGCCTGTGTGAACCCAGGCGCCACCCCCCGCTATCTCCGCGCGGCAGTCGCTGAAGCTCAGCTTCCCGTGGCCTGAAACCGGGTCAAAGGGAAATGGTTTGTAGAGATTGGCCTCTGGGTGGCATGTTTAGGGGACACAGATGCCTGTCAAAGGAAGGTTAACAAGAACTTCCTTGGAGCCTGGAACTAATTGGAGCGCTCCTTCCTTGAAGGTGCTTAACTGGCGCTGGCGGTTGGGGTGAGAAATGTTTGAAACAACGCGAGAGATCGGGAATTGAAGTTGGCGACGCACGTGGCCCTGTGTGTGTGAACTCGGCTCTTTCACCTGAGCGCAGACCACCCTCGGTCGCGACACCTGACGGAGGCGCGGTCGAAACGGTTGTTAGGACAGCAGCACACGCTTCTTCGCAATGGTGAATCCTCTGCTCACTTTGGGGTTGACCTTCAAAAGCGCGCGCTTTGCCTTGTGTTTCTTCACTTTGCTCACTCGACCCTCTGACTTTGGCGGGGTCAACAACTCGGTGTGTCTTGCGTTCTTCTTTTTGCGGAGCTGTCAAACTACATGATTCACTACTTGCATTTGTGTTGCATGCATGTGCTACCGAAGGCCTTGAGCCTCAGCCCGACTACACCCGGATAAAACAAAAGGCTGCAGCAGACTACGTTTGTTTATGTTAACAAGAACAGCATCGCACTTGCACTTGTAGCACTTGTTACGCCAATTTTAATGTGGTAGCGGAGCTGAGATCCTAAACATAGGGGATCTCAGTATTCAGCAGTAAGTACTACAACAACTGCACAGCAATCACATGCCAAACTACTACGACATGTCAGGAGAAGCAGCATCAGCTTCGGCGCAACAAACTACAGGAGCAGAGAACGGGCCAACAGCAGAAACAGTAGGAGCCACGACTACGGGAGCAGGAACAGAAAACGACGTTCAGAGACTACATTGATACAAGCTGCCACCACCCTTCTTCACTGGTGACTACTCCCTGTATAAAGAATGGCTGTTCAAGCTACAAGCCTACCTCAGCCTCATAGACCGAGACTTCGACCTGGTGCTACAACTAGCACAAGTAGCTACACGACAGATTGATGACACAGACATCAGAACACATACTCGATCCTACACAAGCAAGCGAAGCAGTAGACCTCTCTAAAAATCTACACTACATCCTCATCAACATCTGTCAGGGAGCAGTAGTAAGGCAAAACCGCTACAACGCAAATGGATGTAAAACACTACGACTCTTGCACAACAGGTTCAGCCTACCAGTAGGAACACGAAGCGTTGGCTACCTTACCAAGCTACTGGATCCTACATTGAATGAAGCACAGTTTGAAGAGCAACTCCTACAATGGGAACACAACATCAACCCCTACGAGAAAGACAACGGCACAGCACTACCAGATGGAATAAAAATCGCAATACTACTCAGCAAGACCAAAGGAGCACTGCAAAAACATCTCCAACTGCGAGCTGGACAGATCACAAGCTACCTCGAGATCAGAGCAGATGGAGGCGCTGCACCAGTGGACGTTGACAACATTTGGGGGAAAGGAAGGAACTACAAAGGCAAAGGAAAAGGCAAAGGCCACTACAAAGGAAGCAAAGGCAAAGGCAAGTACAGGAGCAGAGGACACTACAAGGGGTTTGACAAAGGCAACAAAGGAAGCTACAACAAAGGAGGATACAACAAGAGCAAAGGAAAAGGCTACTCAGGATCCAAAGGCTATGGACCAAGCAAGGGCTACCAAGGCCAAGGAAACTACAGCAAAGCAAAAGGAAAAGGAAGCAACAACTACATGACACGCCACCGATGTGGCAAGCCTGGCCATTGGGCCCAGGACTGCAGAGCGCCCGTATGGCACACAGGAGAAGGAGAGAACTACAAGGAGAAGAACTACATCCGCTAGAACAAGAACAAGCAGATCAGGACAACAATGAAAAACTACCTCAGGATGTGAACGACACGTGGGACTGGTACTACGAAGGAGAAGAAGGACAACACAAGATAAACTACATGGAGGAGAATTGGAACGACTACGACTATGACAACAGCTGGGATTGGAACGACAACAGCTACGAAGACACAGCAAACTACATTGGAGGCATCAACGAGTCACACCTCACCATTGGACACATCAGACAAGCAAAGTCACTACTACACAAGCACAAAGTCAAATCACTCCTTAATTGGAAAGAAAACAGCACACACACACAACATCATGGAACGACCACAGCAAGAGCTTTCAACAATTCCCCCAAGAGGACACAACACAACTGCGCTTCGACATAGCAGCAGCAACACAACAGCAAAGAAACAAGAAGATTGAGGACACCATCACACACTACATCATGTGCTCCAACTTCAAGTCATACCATCACCTGCTGATCGACTCAGGAGCATCTACACATGTTTGCCCGAAGGACTACGCGCCAGACCTACCACTACGTGTGGAGAATCAGTTCCACAACTCTACACGGTTACCAAGAAAAGATTCCTGTCTACGGCATCAAGTACGTTCCCTACAAGCAGGACAACTTCAGGATCATGATACCCTATCCTCAGTGCATCAAGACTACTTGATAGAGGATATGGAGTCGCGTGGATCACAACAGGCACACCTCATCAGACACTCAGGACTCTTCTACTTACGTGCAGAAAAGATCGACATCCCTACAGGATTCGACATCTACCCAATCACTACAGACAATTCAACCGACAGAGAAAGCAAAACAACCACAAGAACAAATTGCACCACTCACACACACAGACCAAGGACTGCGACAGATCCTTGGTGGAAACACTGTTACTACACAACTGTGTATGGCGGTAATGGTCCCGGACAAACCATCAACGATGGACTACATGGTCAACAACCTACAAGCATTCATGCGGAAGAACACAAGGCATACTACAAAGTGACAACGAAGACACACTCAACGCACTTCTAAAAGCTACAGCAGCCAAAGTTGGCTCAGTGACTGTTCGACATGCGCCCTCCTACAGCAGCAACAGTCAAGGAAGCGTTGAACGACTACATCGAACACTCCTCGGACAGGTACGCGTTGTCAAAGCACAAGTTGAAAGCAACTACAGCATGACAATGTCCACGAAGCACTGTCTACTACCTTGGATAGCACGACATGCAGCATGGACGGCAAATCGCTACGTCATCCGCTCAGACGGCTACACAAGCTTCGAGCGCCGCTGGGGAAGAAAGAGCGATTTGCGAATTTGGCGAAACAACTTTACCTTCCACCACAACACAAGAAACTTCCAAAAGCAGATCTAGGGATGCAGAAATGCATCTGGCTCGGAAAAGTTTCCGAAACCGGAGAAAACTACGTCGCAACGGAAACAGGCGTACAGAAAGTACGAACAGTGCGGAGACTACAACCAGACTTCAAAGACGACCTCGTACTGCTAAACAAAGTTTCCGGCACACCTTGGGCGCCACGACGGAACACTTACAACCCGTCATTTGCAACACTGTTGGGCACGCAACTACAATCGTCAGAGAAGAGACGATCTACGCAAGACTTCGGACAACAGACGAATGTAACGGACATCGTCGTTGAACCCGCAACAAAACAACAACGTACTACGCCACCTCCACGACTTCCGTCGACATCAACGTCAAGTTCACGACCACTACCGGATAGCCCTATGGCTACTTCACCAACCGGACGGCAAACATCCACCACTACCTGCACCACCTACACAAACACTACGACGCTTGACTCCGGAAGAAGTAATGCAACCAACCAAAGCACAGAAGACCTCAAAGGACACTACAATCAGATCAACGGAACGGGCGACCAAAGAACCACAACCACTACGACAGAAAATCAACGCAGTGACACTTCCCAACGGAACATCCATCACTCCCTACACAAAGGGCGACACCTCCGAAGAGCAACCTATAATCTTCGACAACGAAGGTTACGACGAAACACAACTACTGGAAGGAATGAAACACGAGTCAAACCAAATGAAACTACATGACGTCTACGACGAAATAGATGCGTCTACAGTCGACAATTCCTACAGGAGTGCGAAGCCGAATCGTCGCAAAAGGCTACACTGAGAAGATCGAGGATGAAGACTCCGTCTACGCCTCTACACCAATGTTCACGACACTACGGACGCTTCTCGCACTACAAATGTCACGACCAAACTGGATCACGGGACTAGGCGACGTCGCTACGGCATTCTACACGCACCCATCGCAAAGGACCAGGCAAACAACGTCACGTCTATCTTTGGCCACCTAAAGAACTTTGTCCACTACAGAACAAACTATGGCGGCTAAAAAAAGCCATGTGTGGACTACGCAGCTCACCTAAAGCATGGCAGGACTATCTGGCTGAAGTACTACAAAGGCTCAGCTTTGTAAGACTAAAGTCAGAACCTAACGTCTACACCAATACGACTCACGACTGCTACATCATCGTCTACGTGGACGACCTCTTGGTACTTGGAGACAAGGCTACTGTCGACTCCATCTTCGAGGCCATCCAGAAGCAGGTTCTACTCAAGCACGTTGGCTACCTCGAGCCTGGCAAGCCACAACAATTCCTGGGAAGAAACATCGACCGCACGCATTTAGCACTACGAACGACCAGCACAACTGTTTCACAACAACGACAGCAACGACTTCAAACATTTTTTGTATGTAGCAGCTACATGTAACATGACACTTTTGGTATGCAAATAACCGTAACTACATGTAATGTCACTTGCACTTTTGGCGGCATGTTAGGCGGCTTGGGTCAACACTACAGTTGTTTGCTTTACATGTCTGCATGCGCCGCTTGCCTGATAGCCACTACATAGGCTCATCTTTTTGCCCCGTTTCACTACCTTTTTCTGCCCACTACAGCCATGGCCGCCGGACCTTCAAGTGTCGATAACACTATGGGCGACACTACACCCAACCGAGTTTTGACTCCTCGTGCAGAGGAGACTCCTGACTCCAGTGACTGTGGGTCACTACCACCGCCTCACTACGACGAGACCAACTACCACTTCAACCACACTACGCCCACCACCACACCTTACTACCAACCATCAGCCATCACACAACAACTACACATCACGGAGTATCAGACAATGCAGACACCACTTCTCCACAACAACACTCACTATGTGCAACTCTTCACTGCGTTCACGCTTGAAGAGTACCAACTACTTTCACTTCAACAATCTACACCACTTGGACAACTTGACTTTACACGACCACTACAGTGCCTTCCAGGTGATCTGAGGATGCCCCGCTAACTACCACCACACAACGTCACTGCACACCACAACAAGTCACAATGACAGCTACATCGTTGTCAGACTACATGTTGAGCAAGAACTACTTTTGAGGCACCTTACCTCAAGACAATTCATCCACTTCGCTCGCGGCTACACCTCCTACATGTTCTCCATCCAGACAACAAACTACCTTCCGATCTCACAACATTCACAACTCATCTACAAGGTGGACTATGACATGGGCAGGTTCACTGAGATCTACAGTTTGAAGAACAACTA